ACTGGACCTGCGTGTGATAAGAGACTGGACCTGTGTGTGATAAGAGACTGGACCTGCGTGTGATAAGAAACTGGACCTGCGTGTGATAAGAGACAGGACCTGCATGTGATACGGAGACTGGACTTGAAGCGTTAAACATGAAGGGCCATAGGTTTATCAGTGCTAAGTTGGCAACTGCCACGTGTCACAATCCTACCTCTCTAGTAGAGTTCTTGAATGGATCATATTCTGCTATATTATATAATATGTCCCCTTTATACAAGTTTGCATTTTGTTTCGGCTTTATAAAAAAGAAAGAAAAAATGATGACTTTTGTAAACTGTTTATGTCTTTTTCCATGCATATGATCGAACGGGCGTTCCAGATACTAAAGGACTTCGTGTTGTATGGTCGTGTTGTACTGTTTCAGTTCTGACATGCAGTTTTGACAATTAAAACTCTTCAAAGATATTGAGGCCATTTAAAGGCAGATACGGCTGGCCTTGCATTGATTCAACTATAGTACAGTAACCATCATGTCGAGATTTTATAAAAACTGATTTACAGGACTTCTGCTAAAGCCTTAAGTCCTTGAAAGGTTTCCTTTCCTACTGGTGCGATAAATGAAGGTGGTAGAACAAAGCCATAAAGGTCCATTAAACTTGGTCGTAGTTCAACACCATATGAATGTGTAACCCCAAGAACTCCAAAAGTCCAATCCGTAGCGTCCCCTGATGTAGGATCTGACATAATAACAATAACCAGATTAGATAGATATCCCCACTAACCGGTAGTTAACTCACGTAGTAATACTTACAAATCATGATTGAGGACGGACCATACGTAAACTCTGTCCCATGAACGTGTTTGATTGCTTTCACCACTCTGTTCATTGCCGATGCCTTTAAACATAGAAAAAGGAATCAGAACATCTTGAGTAACATATTACACGTCAGTAAACTTGCTTTTTGGTTCTCTCTTCTGGTTCTAGGGTTTTTCTCCCTTAGCAAACATCAACTTCTAAATTCCAAATCGATCTTGGAACAAGGACCACAGTCTTAGCTGCTATCTAATTAATTTACCTGTTTTCTATAATTGGGAGGAAACTGACGCTTATATCCCCATGGCGACATCCATAATTGACCATAAGAATGGAAGTCCACGTAACCACGTATTCGTTTTCTTCTGCTATACAAGAACTTGGCAACATTTCTTGTCTCCACTTCAGAGAATGCCCTGGGTCCAGGGTAAATTGGACTACAAGGCTTATTGGGTGCTGATCCAACACCTTTTTGAAAGAAAAACTAATTAGACGTTTTAATCATACTTTCTTTTTTCGACTTCATGCAGTGCAACTTACCTCCCCAGTTATGGTTAAAGTTCCGATTAAGATCTGCTCCCATGCAGCCATCTACGCTCGGACTTTTATTCTTGCGCCACATACGATCCTTCCATGACAAACACATATTATTAGTCATTATAAAATAACTATTATAGATGTCACGTTCTTATCGGCTGGCAGTGCGTGCATTATGAGACAACACAGAAGGCGCGTGCACTTTCTATTTATTCATTCGTGTCCATTCTATTTTGTATTTATAATAGAAATCAAAAGCTTGCTTTATGTGCTGTGTGTCGACATAAAGCAGTTGAGGTTTGGCTGCAAAACATTGGATTGGTTATGAATTTGCTCATTTCTGGCAAGCCAAATTAGACATTTACGAAGGTAATACACATGAAAAAAGTTCTTGACTCTGATTGGCTAAAGGCAGTGCTTTTCAAATAAAATCAAACTTTTCTCAATTCGGCTCGATTGTTAACATTAGTAAACATTAAAACTTTGTATTTTTCGATGGTAAAAGATCAATTATAATGGAGAAAATCAACATTTTCATGCTTACGACAACTTACTCTATTTCGTGTATACAAGTAACCGTCAACGTTTATTATTGGCAAGATGATCCATTCCAGTTTTTCGATCAACTTTCGAATTTGACTGTCTCTTTCGTAGTTATTGACGAGCTGATAATCGAAATGAAAAATCTTATTTTGTGTATTTTGATTTATCATGAGTATCATTATTGGTAAATAATGCATTCCTTATCAACTTACCCGTCGCGCTAAATACATACATGTAGAAATACTAATCCACTCTCTGCTGTGGATCCCACAGTTCAAAAATAATATAGGCTTGTTCTTCGTTTGATTGGCACTAATCTGTGGCAAAGAAAAACATGATTTTGGTGAAGGTGCAAACATCATTATTATAGAGTCATCACTGCTCCATTGCCTTTAGTGTCTAGGGATATATTACAGTAGTAGTGGTAGTGGTAGTGGTAGTGGTAGTGGTAGTGGTAGTGGTAGTGGTAGTGGTAGTAGTAGTGGGTAGTGGTAGTGGGTAGTGGTAGTGGCAGTGGGTAGTGGTAGTGGGTAGTGGTAGTGGTAGTGGCAGTGGGTAGTGGTAGTGGTAGTGGCAGTGGCAGTGGCAGTGGTAATGAAAGAGGTGATGGTAGTGGTACCTTTAATTTTTCTGATCTGTAGTCGTAGGGGTAATTCACATAGAACTGCTCATTGCGACACATTTTCTTCAACATCCGGTGTGGACCTGAAAAAAAAATGAGAACCAATCATACTTCAAGAGTTCAGGTGTTTCAATTTTGGCTAATTAAAACTCGGAACAAATGACCGAATGAACAAATTACAAAATGGATAGTTTGAAGAATTAAAAATAAA